TACATCACCAACGTTTTATATCAGCGACGAAAGTACAATGCCTCGGCCAAAGGTATATCTCGCGCTCGAAAGATTACACTACCTCAGCATTTCTTTTATCCGTTCTTCGCATTGAAGCGCAATTAGACTTATATCAAACCGCCATCAAACAGCTATTAGACTGATATTTAACAGCTATAAACAGCTATCAAACCTCTATCAAACCACTATCGAACGACTATCGAACGACTGTCGAACTGCTATCGAACCGATATCGAATCGATACTTACAAAGCAACTATAAACAGTCATCGGTACGCTGTAAACAGCTATCGGACTGATATTTAACAGCTATAAACAGCTATCAGACTGATATCGGTCTACTATAAACAGCTACCAGAGTGATATTTAACAGCTATCAGACTGATATCGAACCGCTATCAGTTTATTTCAACATCTATCAGTTATATTTATTTAAATGTCTACAGGTATAAGGGTAATAGAAATAAACATATTAATGTAAGATAATATAGATTTTATTTAAAAATCTTACAATTCTTCTTGGTGTCGCGACCACCAGTTAAATATCTTAAATGCATTTTGTAAAGCGCAATTCTTTGCGTGTTTTCCGCATCGTATAGTATTACAATCATCTAGATTACGTAGCGATTCTACATCTTTATAATGCGCATCCAGAGTTTCGACGATGATATCATCAGTGTCGAGCATATCAGCTAGCCATCCTCGTTTTTCGTGTCCTTTGACATATACGACAGCTTCATCTTCTTCTAACACAGCTTCCGTAATTAAACGTCTCACCATGCTGTAAGGGACCATCCTGTCATCCCACCGCAATCCATGGTGATAAGTACTCAACCAGGAAGCGTAAGATTTATCGAATCTCGTCAGAAAATGCCATGGCATAGGATGTGAAAAAATATAGTGTGTGAGAATTGTTCCCTTTCTTAGCACCGCTACTTCCTTCACGATAAATTTCTTGTTAACGATGAATCCTTGTTAACGATGAATCCTTGTAGATCCACAAACATTGGTATGACCATGACGAGCAATTTTTCGAGACTGCACCTCACCCTGGTTTTCCATTCTTTTATATTCGGGATACTTGCTGACGTTGCAATTTACATGAATTTGCGCACTACGTTGGACAACGGACAGTATTCGATTACACGATCGTGTATGATGAGACAATAGGCGGTAGTATTGGCGGGCACATTCTCCTTGCAATCAAATTCTATGCGTACGTCTACAGTGGCGCTCTTGACGGATTCGTTTTGTCGCGAGCAACCAATGACTGCAAAAGGTCCTTTCTCGATAAACGATAGTACGTTGAGCAGCGTCTCGAAGTTATCGATTCCATAATATGCTTTACGAAAACGCGCATACATGTCAAACAGGACAGCGTACCTCTTTTTACCAAAATCCAGATTTAAATCGTCGTACGGATAAAAATCTGAATTTAGATATACTTTCACATTACTCAAATTACAATCGTCGAACACGCTGATATCTTGTGACATGACATTCTTTCGTCCAGTCTGTAGAGCAAAGATATCGTATCGCGGCTTCTCAAGCTGAGTCGCCGTTTTAACAGCCTATGAATGTTTGGTCGTATTCTGCAACAGAGGATACTCTTACAGATCCCACGAGCGAAAACTCATACTCAGATAACGACCGCTTTCCAACGCTCGCAGCATTGATAATTTATTGATCTCGTTTAATGCTACGTGAGGCATACGCCACTGCACTTTGAATAATTCAATCTCTGGCTCCGTCGCAGAATTTCCCACCAAGCAATTGTAATCGTTGCGCGCTCGTATCGAAATCAATTCGTGGCGAGCGTTGACGACAACGCGTTTGTAATCTTCGCAAAAGCCCAAGAACATATTGAGCGGCACGCAAAAATTAAAGTATCCTTTCTCCGTGTCGGATCTAGATTTCCGTCCAGCGTTCA